CTCCTAACCTAATGACTGAACCTTTATTTTATTTATTTTTATCCTTAGTTCGTAGATTATTTTTTTCCTACTAAATTTTGAATAATACATTTAAGTTTAGTATGACCTCAAGTCAACAACTTATTCGGTACCCCGCCCTACTAAAAGTGTTGATGTTATTTCAGCAATGTCCTCCTGGATTGTGCATAAATTTTCGGCGAAACTCCTCTACATCGTTTTAAAATTCAAATGCCAATATTAATCATAGATATTTTTCCACTAGTATAGATTATAGGAGTTCAGGGGTTGGTGTTTGGGTGCTTTGATTCTTGTGTTTTCTTACTAAGGGTGAGGAGGGTAACTAGAATAATCTGGTCGGTGGAAGCCTCCAGATGTTACATATCATGGTTTAATAATTTTTTACATCCTCACACAACAAATGGGCAAATCAGGCTCTGATACCATAAGCAAATTAAGGTTACAATCCCAAAACCAATTGGCAATGAAAGAAGTGAGTCAACTCCTTATAACCTTCTAATGTGAAACAATTGTTCCCATTCTCACATATAGGTTTTCAGTTAACTTGACAGATGATTAACATAACGAAAGAAGAGTGCAATGCATGATTGTTCTTATCGTGTTGAGGTCACAATCTTTAATCCTTCGGATAATGTACTTGAATACCAAGGTTTTCGAAATTCACAATCTTTAATCCTTCGGATATGTACTTGAATACCAAGGTTTTCGAAATTCACATGGCCGAATGGGTGATAAAATGCGTCAAGAAAGGCGTCGAGGAGCCCGATTCTTTGTCCCTCCGAACTTCATCGACGTGGGGACTTAGAAGTCTTGAAGCTCAAGCTCTCTTATTCCATCTTTCAAATCTCGCCCTGCTATTGTCATTCCTCTGACATTGATGGCACATTAAGGGCAGTTCCTCTTCTTTAACAAGCTGTTAGATCAAAAATCTGAAAAAATTACTTAAATCATACGAGCTTTTGCCACATAAACAATCATACCCAACTTTCACTTTCTATAAATTAATCTCTTGAGAGATATATAATTTACCATATAATTACCTTCAGATCTTTGTCTGCGCTCAATTTTCCAACCATGGAGCCTTTGTGCTAAAGAAGATGGACGTATTCTATGCGCAATACTTGCATAGATACTCGTCCTCCGGAATTGACTGTAGCCATCCACAAACACGCAATATAGTGAAGCACCCAAATAACTTTCATGCATGCATTATGCATATGCTTTAAGAAAGAGAATATGAGGGGATAAAAAATAATAGATGCACGTCTCAAGCAAGTTCAGAAAAAAGAGAGCATGTAGTATAACACTATACCTTCACATTTTCTGGTAAATCATAGATTCGATAATATCTCAAGCAAGTTTCTTGTACCACAAATTTCTGTTTGGGCTTTCTTCCATTCATGTTGTAGCAGCCGACTGTTTCCTTCATGCGTGCACAAATTCAGACTCTTTCTAGCCAACTCTCCTGCTACAATTATAAACATAATTTAATTAGAGAAGCAATAAGAACAGCCAATTTCTAAATAAAATTATTTGAAAACTACATCAATTCAATGGATATCAAAATATGAAAATAATTATGTTTTAAATCATAAATTTGTGAAAATAGGCTTCAAGATCAGCTGATTGAAAAATGCTAAAAAGAATATAAATCAAGAAAAAACTAAATAAAATAGGGAATTTTCCTGAGGTTCTTATTGGAGTTTAGATTTCAAAATGAAACTGAAAAAGAAAAAAATTACCCCAAATATATTTCGAGAAGTTTGTCGATTTAGATTCGGGAAATGTTTGTTCGTATCGTTCTTCTTTGGAACGCGTATAATTGAAAACAAAAACTAATTAATCCTCAAATGCTTTCACAAAATGAAATCCTAAGATATGAATTTGTATGAGAGTGATCCTTAAAAGAAAAAGAAAAAAAAACAAGAAAGTTCATGCTCAAGTGATATAGTAGGTCAATGGTACCTGAGGAGGCGCTGAAGCAACTAACAAAGTTGTTGAAAACAATGTGTTTTCACAAATTGTCTGAGACCACCGTATTTAAAGAATAATTATTTGATTAACTCGTAAACCGAAATAACCTGCAATATAAAAAATAAGTTAATAACAACAAAGAATGATTAGAATGCATGAATCTAATTTAAAATTGTCAAATCTCCTAATGGGAATTCATTTACACCAAAGATTAATTTGTATGCATGAATCTAATTCAAAATTGTCAAATCTCCTAATAGAAATCTATTCACAACAAAGAATGATTTGCATGCATGAATCTGATTTAAAATTGTAAATTTCATATTGGGGCATGCCTAAATTATTTTTCATTAATGTTCTATTCTAAGATTGTTTTAATTTGTTTTAATTTCCATATATACTAGCCCCTCACACATGTGCCAATTGGTTTTCTTTTTTCTTTTTTATTTTATTTTTAGAATTAGGAAAAGATAACATAGGTAGTTATGTTTCACTAGTTTTATTTATTTATTTTTTTTTAGAATTAAGAAAAGATAACATGATAGTTATGTTCCATAAAAGTAGGACCTATTATCTGATTTTGTTTTTATTTTTATTTTTTATATGAAAAAGTGTGAATTTACCATATTATTTTCATTTAATTAATAATTTCAATTCTTAATGTTTGCATTAACCAAGGGCATTTTCTGGTATTTTGAATGTTTCACCATTTTGCTTTATATATATAGATAAAAGTAAGACATATTATCTGATTTTGTTTTTAATTTTAATTTTTTAATATAAAAATGTAAATTCACCATATTATCCTCATTTAATTAATCATTTCAATTCTTAATGTTTGAATTAACCAAGGGCATTTTCTGGTATTTTGAATGTTTCACCATTCTCCCTTGTTGGAATTAACATATTTTTTATTTTATACAAGCGATATTCTACTTTAATCTAATTTAAATTACAGAGAGGGAAATTCAAATTCGGGTGTAGAGTTGGGAGCACATCCGTTCTAACCAACTTGTCTAAGTCTATATTTGCGGAATTAACATATTATAAGAATAACCAGTTGCTACTATAATGTTATGATATAATTACTTTTTACAAGCGAGGAAATACAATAACCGCTAAGAATGTGGTAGTTTTTCTTTTTCTTTTTGTTTTTTTTTTTTTAAAGAAGATAAACAAAATGTTACAAATGGAATCCCTAAAGACCTAATATCAAAACGAACTTCAAAAGCAACATATGACGGAAGAATAGAAAACCAAATACGAGGAAAAGTATTAGGGCATGTTTGGTAACATTTTCTAAGAATATTTTATGAGAATGAAAACGAGAAAAAGAATTTGCATTTTTAGAATTCAAAATACATCTGGTAGATTAATTGGAAAACATATTCAGAAAATAAAAATAGTGAAAACGTGTGTGGTAGGACAATTTAAGAATAATAAATTGTGAATTATTTTTTAAGTATATTTTTTGCTAATTTATGTCCTAATTTTTTTTAAAATTATAATATTTTAAAGGGTAAAATTATTACGAACAATGAAAAATGTATACTTTGAGAATAATAATGTATATTTTCAAATTTTAAAAAAATTCTAATTTTAGAAAAACCTAGACAATAAAATAATATTATCTTTAGTTTAAAATAAATATGAAATTGAATAATATATGATGGTTTTATCATAAAATTAATACACACTGATGTGGCAAAATAAAATAATGAAGTGCAATGAAAAAACTGAAAATTAGAAGAAGAAAAAAATTACAAATGAAAAATTATCAGACCAACCAAAAAAAATGAAAAACAGAAGGCAATCAGACCAATACATTAGGTAGAAAATGAAAACGGTAATTTGGGGTTTTCAGTTTTTGTACATGAGATTGAATTTGTTTTTATAAAATAATTCCAATGAAAATGAAATGACATACTGAATGCGTTTTTGGTAGAAAATGAAAACGGGGCCTTGAAAACGTTACCAAATGACCCCTTAGCATGTCTCATAGCCGCCAAAGCATCAACCACCAAATTAGCCTCTCGATAGATGTGAAGATAACTGAGAACATGAACTTGAGTAGCCGGCGTACGAATATCCTGAAACAACGTCTAAATTCGCTAAGGACGGTCTTTGTGTAGCCGTGGCAGACGTATGAGCACCTGTGAATCACCTTCAACAGGAATATTTTTAAAACCAAATCGTAGTGCAGTAGCAAGACCAAACTCTAGACCTGCTGCCTCATCCTCCAACACTGAACAATAACCCAAAGGAATAGAGCCAGCAAGTTTAACAACTCCCCGGTGATCACGAATAACAAACCCTGCATCAGCTTTACCTGTACTATGCACAGACGCATCAAAATTAAGGTATCCATAGAATAAAATAAATTAAGTAGAATTTTCAAGGATGTGGTAGTTATCTCCATCTCTCCACTTTCTCTTCCTTTCCTTTTTTATTAATTAAAACTAAAAACATATTAATTATGAAAAAAAATATCTTGACAACTATTAAAAAAATAAAATAAAATAAAATAAACAGACTGCGGGAGCGAGTTCGAGTCAGTTTAAATAAAGGTGAAATTGACCAATCAAGTATTAGTCGGATTGGCTCATTGGCTCATACTTTGTCCGTGTGTGTGAGTTTTTCCCCACCCTTTTCTAACTTTGGCAAAAACAAAAAGGTGAAATTGAAAGTCTATTATTCATTGAAATGTTTACGTGTGAAAAAATTGGGTTAAATCAAATCAAAGGCACTCAATTAAAAAATTATATTAAAAAAAAGAAAAAAAAGAACGTAGACTTACTTGATTACGCTTGTATTGAAGTCCTCTCTCCTCCCTCGGCACTCTTTGTGTCACTCTTTCTCAAACTCACGCAATAGCTTACTAGTCCGACTGAACTCCAACCGTCGACATACCCCTCCAACCGCCGAGTCCGGCGCTGGGTTCCCTCCAATTGACGAACGTAAGATTTGTGTTACTTTGGAACCTCTTGAGCTTGAGCTTGTGAAAGAAAATGGTGGCTGCTTTGAGAGCCGTAAGCAGGTCACTGAGACATTACAAACCCAGAACCTCTGCATTTCCAGAGAGTCAGCAATGGATTTACGTAACTCGCCGCAGTCTAATTTTGGATCAAGCACCTTCTCACTCTGTCAGCCTTCACAGACTCTCTGACTCTGATTCAGGTAAATTTCAATTCCAAATTGCGTAAGAAGAAATGGGTTATATTTGTTTATGCCTATTTTCTATGACCCACAAAGCAGAAATTGATTTGGTTGTTTTGGCACCAGGGATTGTTGAGGTTAGTTTGGAGAGGCCTGAGGTGAGAAATGCAATAGGGAAAGATATGCTGAGAGGGTTGCAGAATACCTTTGAAGCTATTAGTAAGGACTCTTCTGCTAATGTTTTGATGATCCGCAGCAAAGTGCCCAAGGTATTCTGTGCTGGCGCGGATTTGAAGGTAGGAGTTTAATTATGTTTTTCATCGAATCAATGTTGTGTTTCGAATGAAATTTATATTAGATGTGCAAAGAACTCTTCAAATTTAATTTCTCTTAGTTATGCTTGTAACTCTTTTCTGTTAATTTTTTTTCCTTCTTTGATTTACTTAAGTTGTATTGAATTGTGGTTATATACACAGGAGAAGATAGTCCTCACTAGTCAAATTGTCCTTCCGTTTTAATTGATTGACAGGAACGCAAAATGATGAGTTCATCTGAAGTTCGAGATTTTGTCAATACGCTGCGTGCCACATTCTCGTTTTTAGAGGTTACCTTTTCTACAATTGCTTTGTATTAAAATCTGTTTGAGGATGATAATAATTGGAACATCTTTTGGAGTTGAGTAGTTGGTTTTGACATAGCTGGTACTTGGTATGCTCGCCTGTCCCAGAGGGTAGCAGGTTTTCCTTCAATTTGCATTTTGGAGGTCGGAGAGCAGAGTTATAATTAAATCTGCCCAATAAGATTTTCAAGGTTTCTTGTTGGTTTTTGTGTAGTCAAATTGAATGCACAATGTGCTATTATAAAATGTGGAATTTGCACTGATCTGGTGTTCAAATCATGATAGTGAGCTTCTGATGATGAGATATGCTCATTCTTATGCCGAAAATGTTTCCGATTCTGTACAACACTCCAAAATGCATTTGTTTTGGTATCATACGTACTATAATGGTGAACATCTAATATGCATACATGAGTGTTGTATAATGGTGGACATGTAATATTAACACTGTGCACATAGATAAAAATACATAGATACTCATGTCCAGGATATGTTGAGACTTCATTATATGTACTAATTTTACTCTATCATGCTGTTGGTGTCTAGTGTGGTATGTTCACTTCCATAAAAAGTCCTGGTTTCAATTTTCTGTTTGACACTTACCTGACGTGCTTAAATTAATACAATTAGGTACTTTGTATTCCTACTATTGCTGTTATTGAAGGAGCAGCATTGGGCGGTGGACTTGAAATGGCTTTATCATGCGATCTCCGGATATGTGGTAATTCCATTTTATACTGATCGCAATTGTGCTCATTGAAATATCAAGCTACTTAAATGCTTTATAATGCTTAGTCTGTGGTTTTTTTCCCCACCATATATGGCTTAGGAGAAGAAGCAGTGATGGGCTTGCCAGAAACAGGACTTGCAATAATTCCGGGGTATGTGCTAAATCTCAGTAATGAGTTCAAACTCCTCAAAGGACTGCAGATCACCTGCATCTTGTTTGACGAACCCAACCTCCTTTTTCATTTCAACTTCTTATAAGAGAGTTTATAAGCAGACACTTGCTTATCCCATATAACAGATGGGAGGCTATTAATTCCCAGTCAAACTATTGATATCGTTTACCTTTCTGGAAAAATTTCTTTCCACACAATTACTTCTTATTTTACTGTTTCTTTTCTTTCTTTTTTTCAATTGTTTTTCTCTTCTTTCCCTTCTTTGGAATTATTCATGAAGTGACAGATCAACCTCTCTTGATTATGTCCATTCACAGGGCAGGTGGAACACAGCGACTTCCTAGAATTGTGGGAAAAGCATTAGCAAAGGAACTCATATTCACTGGCAGGAAGATTGGTGGCAGAGAAGCAATGTCGATTGGTATGTCTACTCCAAAGCTTTGATTTGGTCTTTTCTATTGTTTTTCTTTTTTCTTTCTTTTGACACGAGATTGTACGTTACTGCAGGTCTGGTAAATTGCTGTGTTCCTGCTGGTGAAGCTCATATAAAGGCACTTGAAATTGCTCGCAATATAAACGAGAAGGTATGAAATTATTTGATCCACTAGAGCTTCACTGAGATTTTATTTTATTTCACTTTTATATTTTCTAGTTGATGGGGGAAGGTTACTTGTAGTTGAGAGCAATCTAAAACTGAAATCTACACTCTATAAACTCTCTATCAAAGTGGATGTCCATAGCTGAAACTTATTTATCATGTGAAAACTGAACAATTGCCTCTTTCGTTTTAATGACCAAATTATAATACGTGCACGGAAAAGAAAAATCCTGACTGTAGAAACTAAGATCAACTTGAAATTGTCATATTCAGCAAAGAAAGAAAAAAGTTATAAGTAATGGTTGCAATCAAATTTATGAAATATAGTTTTAGCAGGGTCCCATAGCAGTAAGGATGGCAAAAAAAGCTATTGACGAGGGCCTGGAGGTACATAAGACCTCAGCTTTGGCACTAGAAGAAGAATGCTATGAACAAACCTTGAACACAAATGATCGCTTGGAAGCCCTAGCAGCATTTGCTGAGAAGCGCAAGCCAAGGTATACTGGAGATTAAGATGATAAAATTGCAATAAATTTGTCTTGGATGAGTTTATTTGTGTTATGAAAATAAAGTTACTTGTCAGCAATGAGAAAAGGACTGGTTCATAGAGGCCCTAATTTTATTATGATCATAATTTACCATTATCTCTTTATTTGAATGAATTTAGAGGTCGATGAAATGTTTTTCATGGGTTTATGAGAAATTACTTGCATTCGGAATTATCGAACATGTTTATTAATGAGTCAATTAAATTCACTCTTCAAGTCCTTTCTTTTTGACATTCGATGACAAAGTGGTGAATCTCTTCACTGAAACTGTTCACAATGACAGAGGGTGGTTGTTTTCGATGCGAAAAGTTTGTGCTAGAATTCGACCCCTTTAAGTTTAAGCTTACTGGGGTTTCATGCTTGAAATCAATGGCAAAACTCATTTTAACCATCTAAGACCAACATTTCGTCGCATAAGACCTACAGCGACAGATTGCTGCATCATATATCACATGGAAGAGAGCATGTATGGCAACAAAAAGTTTTGTTGCAAATTTTTTTATGCGATGAAAGTTAAGGATGTAACAACCTAAGGTCTCATCTAAAAGTGCTTGTTGAAGTTGACTTTTGGACTCTACACCTTAGGTAAGGCCACATGATCCTCCCCAACGATTTACCATCGAGCATGTGTGGAGGCGCCTCTTCCCTCATCGTTAAGGAACTGTCATGAATCATGATAGCCATGGCCCATGAGTCCCATGTAGGCAATGTGCTCTGATACCATTTGTAACGACTCAAGCGTCATCCAAAAGTGCTAGCTGAAGGTCACTTTTGGATTCCTAGACCTTACTTAGGTACCCAGACTCTCCCCAATGCTTTATCGATATGGGATTCAGGGTATCACAATGGGGAACTTAGATTCTGTTGTACAACTAATATGGTGACACCCTCATTCAGTCCAAGGGATGAAAGCATCCCTACAAACTTGTCCCAAGACTTAGGCAATCGTCGTCTTTGTTAGAAGTGGAAGTTCGGAGTTGAAAATGACTTTTACGACGACAATGCTTCTTCACAAAAATATGATTTTTCTTGTGCTGTTGCAAAAGCTTTTGCTATTATTTTGTACAAACATTTCATACACTAGTCGACTGATAATTACTCTAGTAGGATCACTAGTAGTAGAAATTAGGTCTAACGTAGTATAGCACTAACATCATTCCCCTGAATAGGTCACAATTGTTGAAAAAACAATGTCGACGTCTCATCTGGTCCCAGAGCTTTTATAGAATGTATGACCAGTGCATCTTCTATTATCTAATCACTCTCTTATCAAATTAAATACAGTACTTAAAAAGATAAATTTTACATTGAAGGAAAACTGAATAAATTCTGAATTGATAAACTTATTTTGTAGTTATGCCTTATATATAATAATTAATATACTTTTTTTTTTTTTTTTTTTTTTTTTTTTTTTTTTTTTTTTTTTAAATAATGTTCGTATTCAATTGGCAAGTAACTTTATGTTAATCATCTCACTCACAACATTACTGAAGGAGCCAACAAAAATGGTTTTTGGTATGCCAGATTGACAAAGATTGTCTAATTGATGGCATTTTCTATTGAAACGAAAAGAAAAAAGAAAAGCAGACTTGGCTAGAAAATTCAGAGTATTAGATTTTTAAAAATGAAAAAACTAAAACTTAGAGGGTTTTCTAATCTAAACCTCCCCTCCCCAAAAAAATAAAATTGGTGCTTGCATTTTTTTGTTATGATGGACAAAGCATTACTGTAATTGAAAGACATGTTTGCTCGTCAATGCAGACGCCATTACAGATTCTGTATACCTTTTTACAATGAGGTTTATAGAAGAATTTCCTGCTGCAAGAATATGTTTTGCACCATCCTTTTTGTTGTCATAGTTGAGGATCACAATTTGGATCTCGTGTATACTATAATCCATGCCAAAATTGCATATCCTTGGATGAGTTCAAAATACAAAATTGATTTATCTGTGTGTAGCTCAAATTTCCTTATTTAGCTTTGGTATGTGTTATACTATTAAATAGCAACAACACAGCCACTTGTTAAATAGACTTCAGCCTTGCATATTTCACCATATCAGTTTTTCTCTGCTGTCAACATTGTCTTCAGTTTGTGAACACCTCTCTCTCTCTCTTTCTTCCCCCTTCCCCCCGAGTTAATGGAGGCAGAGTTTGTATCTGAGTCAAGGGTGGACATGGTGTTACAAAGAGGTCCTTCCCCCAGATTCAAAGGGGTAAGTCTGCTGAAAAGTGGTAACTGGGGTGCCAGGATCTCCTATATGTACAAGCCATACTGGCTTGGAGCATATCAGATGGAGGAAGAGGCAGCTATTGCTTATGATAGAGCAGCCGTCAAGCTTCAAAGAGGTGATACCCCACTCAACTTTCATTGGAGTAAATACAGTGCTGAAGAGAGCATATTCCAAAGTCAGTACTCAACTGAGGAAATTCTGAGTATGTTGAAGGATAAAACTTACTCGTCCAAACTTATGAATTTTCTTTCAAGGCATTCATCAGGTTTGGGAACTCGAACAACAACCTTCATGAATGAACAAGGGATTTCATATCACTTTCTCTTTCAGAAGGAACTGACTCATAGAGATGTCACTCACAAGTGCTTTCTGATCCCAAGGGAATTTTCATTTCGATACCTTTCCCCACCTGAAGGCATCATCAATGCAGTTGAAGATGAAGCTAGGTACGTTAAATTAACCTTTTATGATAAACATGGCCGTTCTTGGACATTTGGATATTCATATTGGCAGAGTACACGGAACTTTATGTTTACAAATGGCTGGGGACACTTTATCAGGATGAATAACCTGAACCAGAAAGACATGGTAATGTTTTACAGATGCAAGTATGAAGGGGAGGTTCTTGGGAGAGAAGTTTACATGATAGATTATCAAAGAAGCAATGGGGAAAACTATGTCCTAGAGCATTCTTCAGGAAGCAGTACCATAGAGTTAGAAGCTGATTGCAAGCAAAAAGAGACTAAGAAAGGATTCAAGCTATTTGGTGTGGAGATTAATGGTTAATCACCGGCCAGAATCCCATTTTGAGGTTTTTTTCTCCTTGTTCTTCTTTTGGGAGAAAATAGGATGTATTTTATTGCATCTTGTCTGTTTGTCAAGTCAACTTCATGGTTTGAGCAATTTTTCATTTTAGTTGTAGGTCATGGGAAACATTGAGTAGGGAAAATTTATTTCAGTTGTGTCATACGTTGTCCTAAAACTTTTAATCAATGTCATTTCAGTTCTGCCCATCAGCAGCATAATGGACCATCTCTGCTTTTATATGGAGATCTGTACAGTTATATAGGTTATGAGAATTGCTCAATATAATCTAAATAGCTTTTACATCAGCTATAAGTCTATAATTTTCAATTAGACAGGTTCGACAAATTTTAAAAGTTGATCCTGTATTTTTTTCCGAAACAATTTGCACACAGAAAAAGGCAGTTTTCTTACATGGTGGTCACAGTTAACTAATAGTTAATTCTTCTGATTCAATATTAGCATGAAAATGGTATGCAGACACAAAGTTCTTCTGATATTTTTAGATTTTAGAAAAACATTATGTGATGAATGAAGTGTGGTGGAAAACAATCCACTTAGAGGCATAGTTCACAGTTACACAAAAGATGAGAACAAGGTTTTCTCCTTATGGCAGCAGAAATTTTCCCGTTTACTCGTCAATCCGATAGGGGGCTTCAATCTTAGTCCATATAAAATGGGTCTTCAACACATTCAGATGGGTTGGAGTATAAGTGCTCGTTAGTAGTTTGAGGACACTTTTTTATAATTCTGTTTTGGAGAAACCAGGATGTATTTTCTGCGTCTTCTATTCGTTTTTTGAGCATGCTTTTTTATTTTTATGATACTCACTATCCTAAATCAACTTTGAGGACTCTTTTTTGGAGAAATTAGGATGTAGTTTTTGCGTCTTCTCTCCATTTCAAGGACACTTTTTCATAAATACAAGGGCACAGTTTCAGCATCCTCTGTTTATTTTGAGCGTGCTTTTTCATTGTACAAGGATGCAGTTTCAAAATCCCTTACCAACTTTAAGGATGTGCTTTCTGCATCCTCACACCATCAAAGAGGGTGAATTTCTGTCGCGTCCTTGAATTAAAACAAGGGCACAGTTTCTATGTTGTGTCCTTGTAGGTGTTTTTTGTGGTAGTGCTAGCAAATTACCAGCAGCACTCTGCAATAAATAGTCCTACTTTAACTGGAGGAACCAATTCTCTTAATCTAGTTTCAAAATCCCTTACCAACTTTAAGGATGTGCTTTCTGCATCCCCACACCATCAAAGAGGGGTGCATTTCTGTCGCGTCCTTGAATTAAAACAAGGGCACAGTTTCTATGTTGTGTCCTTGTAGGTGTTTTTTGTGGTAGTGCTAGCAATTACCAGCGGCACTCTGCAATAAATAGTCCTACTTTAACTGGAGGAACCAATTCTCTTAATCTAGTAAATGGACACCTTGAGAATAAAAGGCAATGACAAATCAGTATTAGAACCTTCAGTGAATCCAATAAACCATTCGTTGCTGAGAAAGAAATTTGTGTATGCTGAGAACTGTCCTGTCACTTATAAGGAAAGACAACTCAAACAGTTCATCAGTTGCCATTAACGATATATAGAGCCTTATTATCATTTAAAATGTGGAAGCATGTCTTAGTTCACTGTCTTGTGCCATAGACTACTTTTGGCCTTCTATTACCTTGTTTGGAACCTTCAACTTTAGTTGATTGGTGAATTCCTTGTGCACGTCAAAACCTTCATGGACACCTCTGTTTTGTCATCTTCCGTCCAACTTCATTGACATGCATTCAATAGTTGTTCATTCCCCACCCACCACATCCCCCTCCCCTCCCCTCCCCCCCTTCTCATTATCATGTTCATTTCATTAATGTTTCTGTTTTAACTATAAATAGATTAATTTTCCTTCATGTTAAAAACTTTAAAAAAATTTCTAGTTAACCTTATAGATGTTCTTCAATTTTGTTTGGAGGAAATGCTGTCTTAATATATAGAGTGGAAAGTAGAAAGAATTGTTGGAAATTGTAGGCTACCTTTATTATGCAGAATTATTGTTTTCCATCCATCTGCATAACTTATCTACTTTTTATTTTATATCTTATCTGAGTTTCAGAGTGGAAACTCATATATGTCTCAGAAAAAACCTGATAATTGAATACAATAAATGATTTAAACTTGTCTGTGAGTAACTGGCTAGAATATTCTCGTTAAGAGATGTTACTTGGACTTGCCATAACTGTTTCATGTAAATTGATGTAGCCAATTGTCATTTGCCTACTCACATGAATGAATGAAGTGCAGATCATTTTTGTCTGTTCAAGTATTTATAGATGTTCTGCAATTTTATTTGGAGGAAATACATTGTTAATATGAAGTGGAAAGTAGAAAGAATTGTGGGAACTGTGGGCTACTTTTATTATGCATAATTATTATTAGTCACACATCTGCATATAACTTATCTCCTGGTTCTTTTTGAGAGTTTCAAATGGAAACTCATGTCCCAGAAGAAAAGAAAAAAGAGAGGTGATAATTGAACATAATGAATGAAATAAACTTGTTGGTAACTTACAGGCTAGAATGTTCTAGTTAACTATTGCTTGGACTTACCATAACTATTTCATGTAAATTAATGTAGGCAATTTTCATTTGCTTAGTTATATTAGATCATTTGTTGTTTGTTTATCTACTCTTCTATGTACTCCCTTGATCTTACACCCACAATGGAAGGGTTTATGGACGAGGATATATTGTTAGTGCTAAGTTCTAATGATGAAATTAATAGCTGTCACTTAGAAGGTTGCTCAAATGATGAAATTAATTCATGCAAAAGAAATAAGCAACAGAGAGCGTGTGTTTGTAGATGTACCATCACAGAGATGTGGAGAGATACTTACCATTACTGAAAGTTTGTGGATGGCGAGCTGCATTCAGGACTCAGGAGGCAGCTAGGGTCTGCTGCCTTGTTCTCATTGCAGCGTTCCAGCTACCTGTCTAACTAATCACTGTCCATGAGCCAGCCTTCCCATTCTTTCAGCTAAAGAAATATGTTGTGGCACACTTACCACCCGGGAGATGCACTAGCTTGGAGGAAGTCACAGTGAAAAATATCTCAAGGCATTTATCTTAATGTCCAAGGTAAAGTATAGGATATGGAATATTTTAAGTATGAATAATGGGAGAGTTGTCAGAGCCTTGTGATTACAAACTTTTAGCAAATTTTTCAAGAAGTAAATGTTAATGAAGGAGAAAGATGTGGTTGTTCTCTTTAAAAGCTCTGATGAGAAGAAAAGGATTTTCTTCATCAGTCATAGGGACTGAAAAAAAATCAGTATTTTTATGAATGTGGTTTTGGTCAGAGAGCCCAGATGCAAAGCAGGGAGGAAAGATGACAAGGAAGCCAAAGATATTTTGGCGTGGAGATGAGTTCTTCAAACACCAAAGCCACAGCCTCGTGTGATCAGCTGGTTATTATGTTTGTGCAGTCTATCAATTGAACTTTTCTCCCTTCTCTTTTAGTTGTGAGTCATATTTTCAGCTGCAGATGAGCCAGTTCGACCAAAAATATGTAAGAACCATCGTTGTCGTTGTTGTTTGCGCGATCTTTAGAGCCAATTACACTGAATTAATTTCCTATAAGAAACCGAAAAAAAAAATGATTTGGAAGTAAACTAAGAGATAAGTAAATGCTTTTATTGACACAAATTGGAAACTGAAAATGCTTCTTGCACATTAAAACTTGCCTCGACTATGCTTGTGAAGAAGCACTTACCAAATGTGCTTGTGTAACTGGAATATGACTCTCAAAATCACTTCCAAACTGCCAAAGGCTCCTATCCATCTCAACTCAATGTTATAAAAATTGGTTTTGATCATTTGAGAACGTTTTCGGCAATCCTAAGTGCAGTGCCAAACACACCCTAAGCATTTTTTTCACGGAAAGAAAAAAAAAAAAAAAAAAAAAAAATGTGTGTGGAACTATATCACTATCACTATGGGCCTAGAAATGACCTGGGCAAGGCCTGAGTCTATTGAAAATTACCCATCGCCCAAAACCTATATATATAAAAGCAAAGCAAGCAACAAGCTGAAAGGCCATCCTGAACTCCAAGTTTGCTTTAGCGTTAAACCTCAGGAAAGGAAAAGGGACGAGAATTCGAATCGGAGAAAGAGAGAGAGAGAGAGAGAGAGAAAAGAAAAAAAAAAGCGATGGCTGCTTCGGATGAAACTCCATCGGCTAAGAGATGGCTTCCTCTTGAAGCTAACCCTGATGTTATGAACCAGGTAATGCAATTAATCTCCTTCATTTTCTCATCAAAGAAAACCCATAATTATTTGGTGTTCTTCGGATTATGCACTGTTTGTTTCTGGATAAAACTTCGGAAAATAAAATCATAAAAAAGTATATAAATTTTCTTAGAAACCAGACGGAGAGCTAGTGGCTTTTGTGTGTAATTGATGTGGAAAATTGGAATGCTTCGATTAGTGTGGGACATTTGAAAAAAAGTTTAATAGTCAATTCTTTTTTTTTTTTTTTTTTTTTTTTTTTTTTTTTTTTGTGTGATAAAAATAGTATGGGTTTTTGGAATTAGTAAAGGACTTGTTGGGTCTGAGACTCTGAAATGAAATTATTCTATAGTAGTTTCAACTGACCCTAAACCACTCTATCAGAGAATCTGTTTAGTTTCTGTAGTGGAAAATGTTTTGGCAAGAGGTATGATCATTTTCCTTTTTATTTGTAATGAAATTTTTGCTTTGAGGGAGACCTAATTAGTGAATATTTCCTTAACATTTGCACATGGAAAAAAGTTGAAAAAGAAATCAATTTTGGAGATTAATGAATAATGATAATGATTTGTACTCAACATAAGGGAAAACGTATTTGCTATATTAGGAGGGATGGAATTAGTTTGGGAAGTTAAGTAATATCGCCTTATTGTAAAATGATCAAGTTCTTGAGAAAGCATGCTATTGCTCATTAAAAAAGAACCCTCCAAAAATAAAGAACAATACAAACCGTACTTTTCTTCCTCATTTTAATTACATGCACTGTTGTTTGTTCTAAATGCTTTATTGTAACTTAGTTTGTTGATTTTTCGTAAAGGTGATATCTTTATAAAAAAAAATCCATTGTATGTCCTTAAGAAAGGTTACCTGACTCTGTAATTTTTAATATACATAACTACCAAATTAGATGTCAGAAAGGGTATTTTTTCAATGCAGTTCCTTTGGGGTCTGGGTCTTCCAGAGCATGAGGTAGAATGCTGTGACGTTTATGGGTTGGATGGAGAACTCTTAGAAATGGTTCCAAAGCCTGTACTTGCTGTGCTGTTTCTTTATCCTATAACCTCTCAGGTTCTGTTTCGTTCCTTGAACTAAAAAGTAATTATTCGTTATTTTTGTTTGGTAATTATTGTTGATCATAAGTTCTCTGCTCTATGTTTCTTTCGTTTAACTTTATGAAAATGTACTTGTCTCCTGATTTGAGGGAAGTTTCCGTTCCTTTCAGTCTGAAGAAGAGAGAATGATGCAGGATAACGAGAAACGGGTGAGTGCAAGGAAATTTGGTTAGATGTTCTCTATAAAATGAAAATCTTTTATTCTTGAGCATGTTATTGGGCTTGTGATCTCTCTCTCTCTCTCTCTCTCTGCATGTACGGGGATGCATATTTGCATGTTCATGCGATGAGATTAACTTTTTATAGAAGAGTTTTATGTTGAATTCACGTTCATAATCAACCATACTTTATGAATTTTTACCTTGCTCACTTATTTTCAACTGTATCAAGTGGTTTTTACGTGTATACTTCTTCACTTGGTAGTTGCTACTTGGTGTCTTGATCTTGAGTTGTATAATTTAACCAGGATCCTTTGAATCATATTCTGGCTGTAGGAACCCAAAGGTAGAGTTTATTTTTTGAAACAAACTGTGGGAAATGCTTGTGGAACTATTGGGCTTCTACATGCTGTAGGAAACATCACTTCGGAGATCAAACTTGGTAAGTTTACAATTTTCCTGTGATGGTCGAGTTCTGATTTATAATGATGCATGGCAATTATGCGTTCTCCATCATTGGGGGTGTATATTGCAAACAAGTATTAATTTATGCTGGTGATTCATAGATGCTAAGGTGTGCCATATCTTTTATGAGTGGCTGCTAGAAAATCTTTGTTTCTTTTGGAGGGAGGGAGGGAGGGAGAGTGTATATTGCACACAAGTATTAATTTCTGCTGGTGATTCATAGATGCTAAGGTGTGCCATATCTTTTTTGAGTGGCTGCTAGAAAATCTTTGTTTCTTTTGGAGGGGGGGTGAGGGAGGGAGGCCAATGATTCCTTAAATGCAAAACAGTTGCATGATCACCTTGATCGATAAAAATATTTTTTTTTAAAAGATAGAGCTAAGCTACCTTGTGGGTGAGTTTCTTTGGTATCTACCACCTAGGTGTCTGCCATCCTAGTTTCCAACTAGGACACTGCAGGTACTTGGACCACCTAGTTGGAAGGTAGGATACACAGTTGTAAAACTACACAGTTTCCTTAATTAACACCTTGGGAGAAATGAGCTTGGAAGGTAGGGACACACAGTCCTGAAATTAGGCAGTTCTAGATGCCAACGTTGTTACCTTGAATAAACACCATTGGAGGAATGAACCTTGCTTTTGTTTAAGTACACAGCCTTTGAAATCAAACTTCTGTGTCAGAGCAGACGCCAATTATTTAGCTTCTTTCTTGCTAATTGTTTACTATTTATTTTTAAAGTTTTATCACTATACTTTTTCCCTGTTGGTGTGTGCTTGTTTTTCTCAGTTGAGGAGTCATACTTGGATAGGTTTTTCAAAATTACTGCAACAATGGATCCATTGGAGGTTCTATTTTGTTTTCCTTTTTCTCTACATCATTTTTTGTCCTTTCAGTTTGACCTTTTCATATAGTGCATATGAAAATTTTCTTGCTATCATTGTCATCTATTTTCTGTACATGTAGCGTGCCACATTCCTTGAAAAGGACAGAGAAATGGAAGTTGCTCATTCAGTAGCAGCTACTGGTGGTGAAACTGAGGTGATATATATATAAAGTAGCAGAGAAAATTATATAAAGTGCCAATATTTTCTCTGTTCTTTTCTTTCTTTGGTTCAGATGGTTTGTGCTTCTTTGCAGGCATCAGATAATGTGGACACTCACTTTATCTGCTTCTCATGTGTTGACGGTACATGCTTAAATTCTTCTATCTATCTCTGTCTTTGTCTCTCTTTACCACCATGTTCAGATGTATCTTCAGTCCTTTTGATCTTATAAATAAAAATTTATATATAGGGGAACTTTACGAGCTTGATGGGAGAAAATCAGGTCCAATTCTCACGGTCCATCTTCACCAAACAGTCTATTGCAGGTATCTAAAATTGCCATGATGCATTCTGATTTAAAAATAAGGGGAGGAAAACACAAGGGATGCCAAACCATATACCAACGCTAATCTGTTCAGCATCTATTTTGTTTAATTAAGGATAAAGGGTGGAGAAGCATATGAAGATAGATGAAATAGTTGGGGAGAGAAGATAAATAACACATCAAGTAGATATTAAACTGAAAAACATTTTAATATTGTTATAATATTCGTCCTCTTTTCCTCCCTTCTCCTATATATGTTCTCTTTCTCATCTCCATCTACTTTGTTTTTCTTTGATTCAAAAAAACCAAAGCATAACATTTTCAAATGTGCCCCTAGTTCTAATGCTTTTATTTTGGAGTGCAAGTCTAGAAGAAACCTTTGAGATTGTTGTAAAGCTGCAAGTCTTAAACCTTAAGCATGTTGAGCCAGAAAATGCTGAGGCCAGCAGCTCCTCCTAGCAGGCTTGGGTAGGGTGATTGTGCACATATTGGCTTTTGGTTTAGAGTAAATATGCTAAGAGGAGCAAGTCTCTGTTCCCGCACATGCAGGTGCATGTGCCATGGAAAATTTATTTTAAAGAAAATATTGAGTAGGTAATTCGCATATGTTTGGCAGTTTTAGAAAATTAAAACACCGTGTTTCAATATGGTTGAAGGAGCGTTTTGGCCCTTCTGATTTGGTCTTTATGTTCGCATCCTTTAATGGAACATTTTTTTCCTTGAGTATAATACATTGCATTGACCCTTTCATGTATTTGATTGCTTTTTTTATTGTTTAACAGGATGCAGCTAAAGTCATACAGGGCATGATCCAGAAAAATCCTGACTCCCTCAACTTCAACGTCATTGCAGTTTCGAAGAAATCAGGGGCCTTTCCTTAAGTTGGAGCACATTGGTGCCCCTCAAAGGTGGTTCAAAGTTTAATGCAATAGTAGCACTTGATGTACGCATCTTTGTACTGAACAATTCCTTTTCCCTGTTAACACGTGTGGTAGCATCTTAGCATAAGCTTACTCAACTAGCGTTAAACTGGTTTTAGACTTTGCTGATCATAGCATTGATGTACTGGCCAAGCCTGTTGGGTATATGGATAGATTTCCAGTTTTGCTTAACCTGGTACTGAATGTTTTGGTAATGATCCTGGCAAAAGAAATTATTGTGTATGTTAGATGCAGGTGGAATTTTGAATACCAAACGCGAACTGATTTCCAACTTTTAGTTCCCTAGATTGTAAAAACAGTTTGTTTGACGGCATGGAATATGTGCCTATTGCAATGATGTGACACTGTACATGGTAGATTAGATGGGTTCTGTTCAGAATATTTGGAGGCTTGATGGTGCCCTTTTGCACTAACGTGAGAAGACATTGATGATGGTGGATCTTAAGCATTCTGTGTACCATTTCGAATGTGCTGACAGGACTGCGCTGCTCGGTCCTCAACGTTAGGACTAGCTTACGAGTTGATTAAGACCCACATGGAGTGGTTAAAAAAAATAGCTCGTCGAAATGAATATAGGTTCCCCTCATATCTTCTGGTGAATCATATCTGAAGGCTATGCTTATTCTTTCACTGGCTTGCCATGGTGGTGGTGTCACTGTAAATGAAGAGCATTTTGCATATAGTCCACTTGACTCTCCATAATTTACATTAAGGTACCCGTCTGAGGTCGTAAGTTCAATACTCCCTCACCAGAATATTACTCGTATAAAAATAAAAATACCAATTTTGATTTCAAGTTCCTCAGTTCAAATCAAATGGGTGGGTCTGGCTGTGAAACCCGCATGTGGAGCCCACTCTTCCGTGAGAGATCTGCTAGGCAGCCCTACACAAGAATTTCTCCCAAGGAACATGTTGTGGCAGCTAAAATGGTCTTCTATGTATTATGACATGATTAGTTGTTGGACGTCATTATGAAACATGGCTGATACCCTAATAAGACAATGTAGCAGTTGCTCAAGAAAATAAATTGCCACCGATAAAGTGAGGCTCATCATTAGTTAACTTATAAAGACGGGTCTACAAACAGGTAATGAATTCTGTAAGGTATATCAACTTCGATTGGGACCATAATGTACATCGGAAAAAATTTGGTCTCTAAAGCATGAGATAACCGCGATGTAAAACGACTTCATCTAGTAAAAATCATGTACACATTCCGACTAAGATTATTCATGGTATTGGCAACTAGCGAAATCTCATGAATATAAGAAAGTTTCTCCTGCGCAGATCAGATCCTCTTGATTTTTGAAAATGTTCCCGTTTCAGAGAAGTAGGTGCTTTGAGTTCCACCGCCGAGCTGGTGTGCATGAGCCTGTGGATTCGAGAGCTCAATCCCCTGTAGGAAAATGGCAACTGTTATTGAGAAAGAATTTCCCAAATGTAAGAAGTAATTTTCTATGTCACTAGCTTAGAAACCAATGCATTTGTGAATATGAGAAAATTTTCAAGTGTAAGGTAACAAGAGATGTTACCTGCACAGGCGTAAATGCTAAACTTGAAGTAAGTCCAGATGTAGCACCACTGCTTCCATAATTCTTTTCCTTGAACCTGAAAAGAATATGCAGCTCATGATATCAGGTCAAGGATCATTATCTCATACTTTTACCAATAAAACAGCACAGAAACACAAATCGCAATCCATATTAATCACTCGGACATAAAAAGAAAACAATAATTAAAATCAGCAAGGAAAAGCGTACTTCTTAGCAACTTTGGCAGCAAGTTTGCTCTGACCCATTGATACACGCAGCTTGCCACTCCCAGCTTGACCAAGCATTCCATAACCTTCACCCAGTCCATCCCCTATTATCAAGACAAAAAAATGAGTATAAATATTATGAATCCAAATAGCAACATATTCCATGCAATTGCACAGATACCAACCATTCATGTAAACGGAAACCCCACTACAATGGACAATTCAGATCCTCATTGTAGGAAGTGTAAGAATGTAAATGTTATTGGCAAACTTCAAGACAAAAATCCCGTTTCCTGTAGGAATTCACAATATGCAGCGAAAAATATTACTCAATTTTTGCCTTTTTTTTTAATTGGGTTATAAATGAAATTAGAGAGAAGGTGGACTCTCTGACCACAAGTTTTGAACCCCCCCCTCACCCCCCAAAAAAAATCCTTCAGTATAAAACATGCATATTGGACCTGTGCATTCAGGACAAAAAAGAAAAGATCTTGGCATGCCCACATATTTTTCCTCACGTAATTGGAAAATTAATAACGAGCACTCAAGTAGGGCATAGTGACTTCCCTACAGATGTATAAAAGAAAAATGCAACATAAGAAAATATAAAATCTAAATTTACTAACAGAAGACAGAAAATTACCTAAGGAACTCTCTTCAGGTATACCGAATTGCATCCTATTTGCTAGCTTCCTCATGTCCGTTATCGCATATCTGTAAAAGTAAATATCAGTATATGAATCAACAATTACTAAATCGTAAGTATAAAACAATAGAAACCCTGCACTACCTTTCCTTCATCTTCCTTAACCGGCGACCACCTCTCTTCTTTTTAGGTTCAGAATCAGGAACCGGAAGTGGTTTAGGTTGTTTTGCAGGAGGAGGCTCCTGCCATTTCTCAATTTTCTTACGAATCTCCTCCCGGAATGCCCTTCCAGTGTTTCCAGATGGATCCCCTCTTGTGGAATCCACCCGTGCTGCAAGTGTTGATTTTGCAGCCAAGAGCCGGCAGGCACGCATCCTCAAAGAAGGGGGTGTAGTTTGAAATATTTCTGTCTGTTCAACATAACCAACACGAAATTGTGATGTTGCAGTGGAAAACCCAGCAAGGTTTTTTCTCTTAGCACCAAGAAGCTGAACATTACAAGCAGGCATCTTAGCTAAGGATGTGAGACCGCCGGCTGTCCCCATAAGTTTCGCTGCAACAGCACTCCCAACTATAGCAGAAAGGTTTGGTGCAATAAAGCCCATTCTACTTTCAACGAAATCAAGAACCTTCTTCTTTGCTGAATCAAGCGCAAGGGCTCGATCGCATGCCTCATTTGTTTTAGTAAGGACTTCCTCTGGAAGCGGTTTGCCACTTGTAGTTGATGCTGTAACTGACACAACCATAATAATTGCGGAAGGTAAAAGCCCCTCCAGATCAACAAGAGTTACATCCATTTCATTCCCAATTTTCTTAACAACTCGGGCATAATCAATTGGATGATGCACAAGTGATTCAAGCTCTGGAAACTTCGGGCGATACTTATCACGAATAAAATTGTGGATGATTACAATTTCATTCTCAATGTCAACTGACAAAGCATTACAGTCCACAATCAGCTGGTATTCTGGATCATCTTCTAAAACTATTCCATGACTTGACATATCAGAACCCTTCACCAGTGCCTCTTCCACTTTCTACAATTTAAACACTGTATTCCAATTACATACATGTCATTATGCACATTCCAGTAATAAAAATGGAAAAAAAAGATGGGCCAGGGGGAACATAGAAGAGTACTGAACCACAAAGGAAGAAACACATACAAGTACTTTTAAAATAACACCCAAATTAGTTTCAATTTCAATTTTAAAATAACATCTTCTCTTCCATACCACTCTTGTATTTCTTCTAAATATTCTCATTTTTAACCACCTTCGGTCTTTATTTAAAAACAAAAACCAAAAACTTTATCAAACAAGGCATACTGTACATGTTTAAAAAACCTAAAATAAAGGCAATGTTGAAACCTAAATACACAGATATATGTGTCAACATGATGAAAACTTTATTTAAAACAAAACCAAAAAAAAAAGTTAACTGCAACAGCAGTCATCCTAAATGCTAATGCATCAAAGAAAGGATAAGCATTAAGAAGATATAAATACAGTAAAGAAGTTAAAAGATCAAGTTTGAGCACAAAATAATGTAAAGATTTTGATTAGAAAGTATTCCATGAAGAAAATTCGGACATTCCTGTTACAACAAACCTGCATTATATCAGTATATCTTTGTGTTTTCTGTAATTTTGAAACACTATCCAGATCATCATAATTAAGCGTTTCCAAGTCTGCCAAGTCCCCATCAACATCTTCTTCCATGTTTTCAGCATCAGCATCATCTTCAACCTGCAAAAAATAAAGTAATTACTTAGTAGTGAGAGAGTTTGAGAGAAAAAAAAAAAAAAAAAAAAAAAAAAAAAAAAAAAAAAAAAAATTTTATCTCATTGACTAGCTTTGTAAATGTTGGTCGTCATGATTTTCTCATATGAAAGGCAGAATATTCTCACAATAACATCAGCTTCATTGTCAGATAGTTCATCAAGGTCTGCAAGAAACGAATCAGCAAGAGTCGCCTGCAATTACCGCAGAGAAATGTCAAAGTTATGTAGCTCGCTCTTAAATGTGTCACAGCATCATTAAACTACGAAATAAGTTTAGTGCAGCTGAGAAACCAATAAAATTTAGCAAGGAAAAAAAAACCAAATAAATAACTCACCATCTTTTCAGGTTGAAGCGGCGTCAGCTTCCAAACAGCTGGTGCCTAATAAAACTGAAAATCAAAACTCAGAAATCTTCAAAAGACGAAAAAATTAAACGAATTACAAATATAATGGGTTGGTAGCTTGGCCGATCCAACCAGTGCTCTGCTCATTCAAGAATAAAGACAGCATCTAATTTCCTTTCAGTTAACCACTTCACACACTAATATGAAATGAATTGCAGTGTACCAGTATCACATATTTTGCATTCATACGCAGCATATGATAGCTTTAGCAACCCTTCCCATCCTCTTTCACTTCACTATCCAACTCTTTCCTACTCTCACCTCCCCTTCTCTTTCTCTCTCCTGTAATGTCTGTCGTCTTGCTCAGTCACAATGACCTGAGCCCAGTATTTTAATATCTCACAAAGTCATATCTGTTTTCCATTAATGCATCTGTCTTTTTCCTTTTCATTCAATTTCAATCAAAATAAATGGAAAGTATATATGTGCTGAAATTTGAAAGTAGCGAGCGAGGGAGTGACTGAGGCAACAAACAGACAAACAAGCCATAAATTTAAGCAAAAGGGAAAACACCATAAAAATCAAACGAGAAAAATAAACAGGAGATGTGCACCTGGTAGAGAAGGAGATAACTTGCTGTGACCTTAGGGAAGATTCAACTGAAAGAAAGAAAAATATTAAAACCCTAGGAATTAAAAAGAAAGGGAAGAACGAAACTGATAAGAAATCAACCCAAAAAGAGCGTGAAATTATTTGGGGCTATTTTCGGAATTTTGCTTGTTTAAATTATTTTTCTCTTCCAGTAACAAATTCAGCTTGAGCTTAGGGGGTGGTCGTGTAATTTCGAAAGAAAAATCCAAAAATCTCAAGGGTGTTATTGTAAATAATTAATTTTATAAGTTATTATAAAAGGTTAAAATTGGAACTTTAAAATAGCATGATGCTCTAAACACCGCTGTACTGCAATTCACGGAATACGTACATAAATAAATATACAGCACCCAAAATTCTCTCCGCCAAAACCAATCAAACTCATCCTTGTTCGTCTTTTCAAGCTCTCTTTCTGAATTCTTTTTCTTCTTTCTTTCGAAATTTTGGTTTTTTTTTCTCCCTCAAAGAGGGTTTTCAATGGAGATAGAGCAGAAACAAGCCCAAGTGATCGAGCACTTTGTGAAGCAAGCCTCTAGTCTGCAAGGGTCTTCTCTCGTCGGCCTCATAGTCCAAGTCACTTCTCATTCTTCTCTCTTCGCTTTCTCTGAGATTTTGGCTGTCCCCAGTGTGCTCGAGGTCAGTCTTACATGCATTTATTTATTGTAGTCAATTTCCTTTGTTTGGTTTTAATTGTTATTTGCTTTGCCTGATACAGTTTGGGTGTTGACAACAATTTATGCTTTTGGCTTTGTTGATTTGGATTCTGCTAGTCCCATGCTTTATAGCTTTTGGGTATTTTCAGATTATCGATTTGTTTAATTTTTGATCTTGTGTTCTTATTTGGGTTTTATGTGCGGTTATAAATGTGGGTTTGATTTAGTATATGATCTCAAAATGAGAAAGTGGCTTTAAATGCCAATTTAGAATGGGTTTCATTATATCTATGTTCCTTTTGGTTTTTACTTTTCCTGTACTTTCTTTTATGTTTTATATTCTTATCAAAAATAGAATCTTAGTTCTATATCAGATTGTTATATTGTGTGTTTGATCAAATATGGATATCAAAAACATCACTTAACAAGTCTTAAATCCCGCGTCAAAATTGGATTCTTGTAGATTGATTTTGACTTCGATGAGCTAAGTGACTGTGTTCACTTACTGCTTACAGACCATAGCAGGCATAATTCCTCCTGTTGTATCTGATCTGACCATGTCTTCAGTAGTAGTTAGGGGATGTTAAGTACCCAATCCAATATATTTTCTTTAATTTTTGGGTTAATTGATATAATTTTGTCTTCAGCATGGCATCCCATTTTATTTTCTTTCTTTATTAACGTAGTTAAGTTTTACTGATTGGTTCTTGATTCAACTAACAATGCAGCTTCAAGGAACTGATTATGCTGTATACATTGATCTGCTTCGTCTCTTTGCTCATGGTACATGGAGCGACTACAAGAGTAAGAGATTTTCATCACCACGGCTTATTTTTATTCGAGTCACAAGCTATTATATATTTTCTATTTATCTCCACCCATGTAATTTACTGTCCTCCTATAAGCCACTATGTTTAACCCTTGTTCAAATGTCCAAACCCTCATAACCTGTTCTATCTCATATTATCTCCAACTGGAACTAATTTAGCCTTCTTGTGTATGTGACTCTATCCTTCTTTGTTTTACCACACATCCATCACAACATCCTCATTCATGTCACACTCATTTATGAATATGTTGTTTTTTAACTACCTATCATTCCGTCTTTTATATATGAGTTGAATTTTTGGAAACTAAGTCAGGTCTACTTCTCTTGCTACAACTTCATAAATTATTTATCTATATAGGGCGAGAAATTGTTTAAGGAGCCCTAAGATCTTAGATCAGTAGTGTTTTTAGAAGTTTCATTGGATTCCGACATTGGTAGTGGTACTTGAAAATTTTCTATTCCTTGTTTCACAAGCCTACGGATGAAATTTAATGACTGAATGTGTGGCAGGTAATGCTAGCCTTCTTCCACCACTAACCCCAGATCAAATCACCAAGCTGAAGCAACTTACTGTGCTCTCTCTAGCTGAGATAAACAAGGTATAACAATTAGTATTATATCATACTCTATTTCCTCTACCTTCTCTTTTTTTATAGTTGCAATCTGATCATATCATGTCCATTTTTTATTCTTATGTAGCCTAGCAAAAAATGTGAAAATTCCCATTTTAGTCAAACCATTTCACATAGGTACCAGGCAAAAAGCCAATTTATTTTTCCATGTGTAGAATATACGGACTTTGGTGGGTGATATTGCACTAGTTAGTCATTTTTTCTCAAATCAATGTTCATATGAGATTTCTCAAGGTCTTGTTGCCTAGGTAGCAAAAAGCTTGCTTTGAAATTTTGTGAACTCATTAATTCTACGATTGTTTCATAAACAAAGTTAGAAGTTTCATTCAAAGAAAAAAACGATTGAGAGAAAAAGGAGGAAAAAGGGAGGGTCTGAAAAATTTGCGACAACTGCCTCTCCGGTTTATTTGTGTGTAACATAAGAGAGTGGAGGGCCTACATTCTGTTCCTAAGAATTAAAAAAGAGTGGACCTACTTTCAAACATATTTGAGGGGTCCCAAATACTCACACAACAGATTACTCACATAAGTATGAAAACAGGCTAGAGGCAGAACTAAAAATGAAGACTTGTGATATTATCCAAAGTAGGAGGCCTATTGTAATCCTATCTGAATTGTTGCATCATGTGCAACAGGAGAGCTGAAAGTTTAGACCATTTGTTTCTTCACTTCCCTATTACTTTAAGGCTGTGGCATAAACTGTTTAGACCATTTGTGTCTTCTATATAACCATGACTCCCAGTATTGCTTACACAAACATCACAGCCACCATGGCCTCTGTGATCACCATTAAGGCCTCCACTAGTAAAAACCATTGTTAATGTTTTCTGGGGCCTGTGAGGAAACCTCATGTTCGTGCTGATAAATAGGAAAAGGCTTGGGCAGCTACAGGAACATTTTCACTTAATAAAATTTTGGTTCTTGTACAGAAAATACTCAGAATTCAACATAGACATCAAGAAGGAAAATAAGGGAAGGATAGTACCTGTCCCTTGACTAAAAAAAATTCCAAAGAAACGGGGAACACTTTTTTTTTTCCTGCAGAAAATTAGGTGAATTTGGTTAGAAAAGCAAAAGGGGTTTGCCATAAAATCGCAGTGTTGCCTAAAATCGAGGAGAGGAACTGCTTAATGGTTTATTCAGTGCTCTATAAATTTGTTTTGCGTTGTGGGTTTGACCTGGAAACTGCTACTTCTTGCTGGTGGAAAATCACTTTTTATCTCTTGGTGATGCCCAGTGTTGGATTCTTATTTGGGTTATTTGGTGAGAAAGAAGTAGGTTGTTTGATGATAAGGTAGAGGATGTGGATTCATTTTGGGTAAAATTAGATTTTTTTTGGCATAACTTTTGCCATTTTTGTTAAAGCATTTTTTTAATATGTCTTTATCTTGATTTGAGGAAGGGGGCTCGGTGTTTGAATTGAATGGAATGGGACTCTTGTTTGTTGTTTTATCTCTTGAATATGCAATTAACAGGAGGGATAGCATTTTTTTTCTTTCCTTAAAAATGGGAGCTACCCCTATATTTGTTTCCTTCCTAAATTCCGATCATAGTGTAACATAGCATGGATATGTCGACCTCTGAGTTTATAAGTACAAATGCAACTTCAATTTCTAAATTTCTATTTTGTTTACCAGGTTTTATCCTATGATCAACTTCTTGAGCAGCTTGATCTTTCAAATGTGCGCGAACTTGAAGACTTTCTTATCAACGAATGCATGTATGCGGTAGGTGCAAATCATTAATGGGAAAAATATGTCAAATTCATTTGGTTATCAAAGATTTGTTATGTGTTCTTATCTATGAGACGATTTCTTTAGACCAGTGAAAAAGAGATACTAAAAAGGTCGCCAGCCGACAAGGCTAATATTTCATCGTCTTATGTATAGGGCATAGTCAAAGGGAAGCTGGATCATTTGAGAAGATCTTTTGAGGTTGAATAGTTTCCCTTAATTATATGTGCTCTTTAGATAATTTCCTGGATACATGTTTTGAACTCAGTGTTTAATCTTGACCATCATTTTCTTTCCAGGTTCAATTTGCAGCTGGCAGGGATTTGAGGCCTGGACAACTAGGGAATATAATACAGACTTTAGATGATTGGTATGTATACTTCTGTTTCTTGTTGGACGTTCCATGTCTGAGGTCTTTCAACTGTGTTAGTTAAGGCTGGCAATTTTCACACTCCCATTTTGTCTATTTGCACTCCTCCCCTTATTTTTATCCTTTCATTCTCCTTTGATTTATTCAAATATCGAAGCATGGAAATAAGAGAAGGGTGTAAATGGATAAAATGGGAGAGTGAAAACACCATCTTAAAATTCCCTCTCCAACTCAAATCCTTTTTGTTATGTTAGGCACCTTCTTACTTATGCCTTGCCTGGTGTCTGTACCCCAGGATGGTGGTATAAATAATGTTACCGCCATCCTGCAGCATCTCTTTCTATCTTTTAATTTATAAGCCATCTGTTGCTATGAAATCTCTATACATTCCCATAAAGAAATCTCTTTACATAGATGATATTTTACAGTAATTTTTTGGGGAAAAAAAATCAGGTTAAACACTACAGACAATGTGCTTCTCACAATTGAAGAGAAGATCAAATGGGCAGATAAAAGTGTGCGTTGAATACAATACACCAAAAGCAAAAGGCAGTCAAGGACAAGGTGGAAGAAGTAAAGAAGTCTCTTTTCAACAGGGTAAGTTGAATCTACTTCATCAACCTATGTAATTATGATTTTGTTTTGAGTTATCGTTATACACATCTGTCCTACCAAATTTGCAAAGCAATTTATATTAGATGCCTTTGTAGAGTGAGCATGCATTGGTTGGCTTTTCATTTCCAAATTTTGGACCTCCATCCTTTTCATGTCAAGGAGACGTTTATCTTTTGCTTAGTATGGAAGAGCTTTTATCAAACTTGTCAGCATGCTAGGACCAAGATACATTAAAATCATGAAACTTGAACATGTCAAAATTCACACTTCCCAACTAAGAGGGGAAGCAATTGAAATTTTCTCATATTAAATCCTAAGGATTCTGTGTTATCAAATCCCAGTTTCTGTCCCTTTTAAGCTATTTACTTCCGTATCAAAAGCTGTGAAAAATAAGGGTTCCTACTCTCGTGCTCCTCAAAAGCTCAGTTAACTAAATAGGAAAGAGTATTTTTCATGTACTTCCAAAATGGCACGGGCTTTACCTTTTTGGATCATTCAACCTTAGAACTAGTTTTGCTTATTCTACTTGTCTTTTCAAAAGAGTTATTTAAAATGTGTTTAATGATTTCCCTCGAAAAACTGTGCGCATGATAGAATTTTTCTTGGTTGGGATACTGGTATATTGGTCAACATGTTTTACTTACATGGCAAAGTTTGCACTTTAAGCAGGGTGGGCGTGACTTCCAAGCACTCGATGACGTCCTGTTTGGTGAAACAGCTGGGTTAATGGACTATGAAGAAGATCGCACCCGAACCAAGAGGTATTACAATTCAGATATCTCTTACACCAAATCATGTGTGTTAATCATATCTTCCCCCCTTGAAAAATCAATTTTAATTTTATGCTAAGTCAACCTATGTATTAATTGCGATGAACCTTCAAAGTCATGTGTGTTAGTTACCATGGTCTCATTGACAATATGAGGGCATCTGTAATTGTTGGTTCAGGCTGGCATATACTGTATGCATTGAATCCAAAATCATTCCCATTTAATCTCATGAAATTCAATATTGCAGGAGAAGGTCGCCAATATATTGAGAAGTGCAGGGAGGGTGGATCCGTTTGATGTCTTTTAAATGACGTTCTGGTTATTTTTTTCAGGGAATATTGCAATCATAAGATATAACTCCTGATTGAGTTTAATCTTAGTCATTGTTTCAATTGAACCATGGAGAAGAAATCAAACGTTTCCGTGTTTTGTTGCTCAAGGGTGGTGCTATTGCAAGAAAACTTGCCCACAGACATTTCGAAGCTTGACGTGTATTATAAAGCTTATACCATATAACTGAAGTATCTCAAATTAGTAATGTTGTATTCACTTTCATAGGGTTGTGATTTTGGTTTTCAGATTGGTATTTTCATATAACATTTAAGGGGTCATCGAAAGAATTTTCAATCCCTCTTACATGGAATGCTATATATTGCTCCTCTTGAATGATTTTCATGTTCTCTCATGGGAAATGCTTCCAGTTGAGACTGCTAAAACTGTTCAATCTTTGACAACCAGTGCAGATTGGGCACACTTGAATCTGACTGTCCTGAATCCATTGTATGAACAACTGGACACCCCCAACAATTACTTAGCAGGCCCAAACCTAAATCACTCCACCATTCACAATTACTGGATTGTCACGGGTACTCATTGGTTCCATGCTAGGCCCACTGAACATTTATGTGTGAGTAACCCTAAACATTTAGTACATGTCAAGTTGCAATACATACACTACCAACGGGATCTAGCTTAGTGGAAAATGATATTGATTTACAGATAAATGGTCTCAGGTTGTGATGACCATGTAAGTTGCTGCACTTGGAAGCTCTCGAGGTTAGCAGAAGGGAAACATGTTTGCTTGAATGGAAACATGTATTTTTTCCTTACATATGAACATTGTTTCAAAGTTTCTGTCACAAAATGTGTCCTTACCCACAAAAACAAAAAGATGGAAACATTTGTTAGCAAGTAGGGAAGAAGAACATTAATTGCTTGGGAAAGACTAAAAACACATAAGCATGAGCTTAAATGCGAGATATTTGAATGGTTGAAATGTTGGAAGAAGAAGAAGAAAGCAATAAATTCGAAGTTGGAAGAGTCGTCGTTCGCGTTGTAGTTTGCAGCAGTGCCCTACCCTCCCTACAACTAGTGTCGCAGTCTGGATGTGATTCTAATTTCTGATGAAAATGGCTCAAGTTGAATATTATTATTAACAAAGTCTTAAGGTCAAAATGTTTGAAAGTCAAAGGAGCTTTGCCTGCCTGCGGTTCCTGTTGCTGTTGCTTGCTTGGACTGGACCGTACAACTCTATTTTCTTTTATTTTAATTTAAGCCGTTTTGGCGCCCCTCGTGCGTTGAGTTTTATTTATACAAATTTATAAATAAACCCAATCCTAGACATGTATTTATAAAAAAACCCAAATACTATTTAAACATAGAAACACACCCAAAATCAACCCCAAAATCAACAATTGTATATTTTTTGGGTGTGTTTATAAATGGGTTTTGAGTGTGTGTAATGATGGGTTTTGGGTGTGTTTATAAAGTGTTTTGGGTGTTGGGTTTTTTTATAATTTCAGCCTCCATTTTGGGTGTTTTAGTGAAACTCCCTTTTATTTATTGTGTGCTTGACACGAACCCCGTTTTTATTCTCTCTCTCTCTCTCTTTCTCTTTCTCTCTCTCTCTCTCTCTAATATCTTTGAAACATCTCAGTTCCAGGAAAAAAAAAAAGTAACAAATATATTAACGGGGTCTAACTCAATAAAAGCACCTTAATTTACAAATCAATAGACTCAAGTCCGAACCTCAACTGATAGTGGAAAATGTCATGCCCAACAAATGGAAAATGTCAACTTCAAACAGAAGGGAATGTGTGCACATGCACACGTGCGTAGGAAACATGTCTTAATGTGGTCAGAAAGGAATTATATGTACATGTAACTTTTTATTTTGCTGGATTATATGTGTAATTTAACAATATATATATATATATGAAGATTTAGCCTGGCAAAAAGATAAGTATAGATATGTGTGTGTTTTTGTGTGGGTATTTAAGTTACCTGTTAATAATTTATAAGTGTTGGCAATCAATTTGAGCTCAAATGGTTAAAAATAGTTACCCTTGCATCTGAGGTTCTGTGTTCGAATTTCCATATTTCGATATCGTTTGTGTCAAAAATTAATAATAAATTAGAGGTCCCTATACTATCATCAATAGAATCGATCATTTTGCATACCAAATTAATGTTTGTTTTAGTGAACAAATAGATGAGGGCTTATTGTATTAACTTGGGGAGTTGAAAAGTTCCTATTGCAGAGAGAAGAAAATCAAATGTCAAAGCACAACAACAACTGCGTGTATGCGAGATAATAGACCATCTGAACAGCTAAGACAGAACTTGCCAAAGTGCATGTTTTAGTCAAAGATAAATACATGACGGCTTAAAATACGAATTGGGAGTGTTGGAGGCGTCGAAAGAGAAAAAACTTGACCATTTAGGAATTTAGGACGAAACCTCCCTCCCATAGTGTTTGTTAAAGGTAACACTATGTCGAAGTGAAAAGCATTTACTGTTAAAATCAATGCCGATCATAAATTAAAGTCAGAAATTCATACATTTAAAGTGGTTACAAGTCATACTCATTTCTCACTTGTGGTCGTGTTTAATTCCGTGTCCACTTTCTTTCCAAATAACTCAACGAGAACAGATTTTTGCAAGTTGTATCCAAAATGTGCATTCCAAGGCCAAAAGAAAAGACACCAAGATGATTGCAATGCTTGCCACTAATTTGATCTTGTAAACAAAAAGGGGAATAACTCCACTTCAAAATTGAGTTCATCAAACAATCCACACTAAAAAGCAGCCTCTCTTAGCTCATCCATCATCAACAATCCCCCTTTTATTTTCTTTTTCTTTCTCATTTTTGAAAAAAAATAAATTTAAAAAAAAATTTGGCTTTTCCCTCACAAGTTAGCCTCCAAACTCATGGGAACCCCAAAATGAAAAACGGAAATCCTACATTTCCTTTTATATATATATCTCGGATAATTACAGTGTGCCCTCCACAATTCAAGAGGTAGCTAGTAGTGCTTTTCCCGTCCCTACTCTCCCACCATCGTCATCAGCTCACTAATAACTGCTCGCCATGTGTACACGACACCGCCACTTGGCCTCCCACTTGCTGCTGCCCAATTCCAGCTCCCATTTCCAACCCGGCCTGAGCCGGGTTCAAAACAGCCACCTTCTTCCTCCTCTTTGGAGAACCGCTCTCCGAAGACGAGGAGGATGGCTCAGGCGACGACCGCTTCGACGTCACCCGAACCGGATCAGGCTCGCCCGAGTTAACCCGGAGCGGGAAATTCAACAAAGCTCTGGAGCCGCGCATTCTATAAGCGGCTCTGTCGTAAGCCAAAGCCGCATCCTCAGCCGTTTCAAAAGTTCCAAGCCAAACCCTCGCGCCATTCTTTGCCGGGTCCCGAATTTCGGCGGCGAACTTGCCCCACGGCCGTTGCCGTACGCCCCTGTAATGCTTCCCTTTGGCGGGAACCACAGCTGGACCGGCTTGCAACGGCTGCTGAACCGGTCGGACCGGTTGAACCGGTGCCGGTTTTTTCTCCGGCACTTCACTCACCGGCGTCAAAACCTCCGGTTCCGATTTTACCGAAAGGTTTAAAGAACATGTATCAGCCGACCCGGACCCGAGCGACGGGACCCACCCGACGTTAACGGCGTCCCTTAGAACACCGTAGAGCACCATGTCCTCGGAATCGTCCTCCTTGAGCGGCAAATCGCCCCAGTTTTCGGTCAAGCACGGGTACAGGCTGCTGAAGCTGGAGGTCCGGGAGAAAATCGGACCCGTAACCGAGTTGGCCATCGAATTTCCCATCCGTAGATCCGTCTCGCCCAGCAAGTGGCGCCGAATCGAGTCGAGGAGTGTGATATCCGCATCAGTTCCACTCTGTCCGTACATTTTGCAACTACGAAACTCCAAAATTTGGCAAAATTTCGGGTCTGGTACAACCCGAAATGTTTCTTGAAGCAGAGAGAGGAGAAGAAGAAGAAGAAGAAGAAAGAGACTGTTGTTGTTTTGTGAGATTTGACGAGTTGTTCGAATTCTTTTTCGGGTTTGAAGAGGGGGAGGTTTAAATAGGAGAGTAGGTTCATGCACTTCAGAAGGCTGTGATATTTTCCGAAAAATAAAATATTATTTTTATATTTCTAAATTTATTTTAAGTACTAAATATTTTCGTGTGTGGATGAGATTCTAATTTTCTCGAGGTCGACGACAGCTTCTTTGAAATTTCCCTAGTGTGCAAATTGTGCATCGTGGGTCCCGCATTTCAATTAATCACGTGACTAATTGAGTTTCTCTTTTTTGGGAAATGAGGAGGGCCTGACGTCATCTTCTTACAGCAGCAAAATGTTGTTTGTCGGTTTGCGTGGGCACATTTCTTTGTCCGCATTTGTCGACATTTCTCGGCCGTTCATCTTTTTCGCTTATTTTGGTAACTAGTATTAAAATGGAAGGTCTTTGTTTAAATCAAAAAACCCCATGATATTAACTTATTATTTGCGTCATAAATTATAACAAAGTGCCACATCATCACCAATCCAGCCTACTTTTTACTCTCACCTGGATTTTGTATGCCAATTGGTTGTAAATTTATGTACAACCAATTATTTTCCTGCATTCATATGTTACTTTCATGACTAATTGTCTATCTTGTTAGGCCATATTTCTCATTCACTGGTTTCACCCTTTTATCATTTGTTATTCGTGTAGGTTTGGTATATAGTTTTCTTTTTCCATTTGAAACAAACAAGACTATCACGTAAACTCGTTTTCGGATGTGTGAATTTGATTGACAATTTTACAACAGAAAATAAGTTCAAATGATTTGTAGGGTCCCAAGTTTAGTACTAGCTCTCCAGTTGGCTGGAGTAAAGTCTTATGTGCAGAAACCATGCATTTTGTAAATACTAATTCGTAATTTGTTAGGCCTAGGATACAACATAATTAGAACCACACATTTTTCAAATCTTCGTCAAGTACAATTACTAGAGGCAAAAACATCGAAACTTAACCAGAAACCATAGTTAAAATCTAACAAAAAACCTAGCACCAAGTTAAAAAACATGTTGTCAAAGTTAATCAATTTTTGCTTTGGTTCTACTCCAAACAAAGGTATGATCAGTAAGTCAATCTTGAGGAAAAAAAACACAGGCGAAGAAAAGTTGTCTCCTTATTTATTTATTTTTCCTGGTCAATTAGAAGACTAGGCAAAAATCTGAATATATTTTCCTCTGAAATCTGGCGAGCTAAAGAAATTTAAAACGAGCTGAAAAGGACATCTTCTCGTTGGCTCACGGATTCATCGGTCCTAGACATCCCTACAAAATATTTTTCTTTGGATAAGTCTCCACAAATTTAAAGTCAATAGGTCCAAAATCAACACAGAAGGATTTGTGCTGTGAGTGGGACCCACCTCTCTCTCTCTCTCTCTCTCTAAATTTGCACTCCCCCACTTTAACGTCCCTTCAAGGAAGGTGATTCACTTGAAACCCTTTTTTCCTGTTTAACTTTTAATTATTTTAATTATTTTATTTATTTTATTAAATTAAAGATGAGATATATCCGAACTTTTGGAGGATCTAAATGGCCCCCGAGTTGTTGATCCATTTGTAAAGAGCACTAAAATAGCTTTCCATCTTGTTATTGCTTTTTGGGATTGCTCAGTTGTACCTTCACTTGCATGATAATGGAGCCACTTGTGATCTTTTGTACTCATTCTCTCCTTAATCTTGTATAGGATTAATTATTGCTCTTAATGCTTTGGACATTCATTCGTATTACTACTTGATTACATATTAGATGACAACATTAGACAGTTTACATTTTATTTAACTTACTTAGTTAATGGATGCTTCCATAGATGTTGAGAATGATATATTTGTCTCAACCTAATTGAAGGAATCGGATTCGGCTTACATAGATGTTGAGAATGATATATAAATGTTATGAATTCATCAGCGGTTGATTGTTATAACATTACACTATTTGGTGGGTTAATTGAAAGACCTAATAAAATGTATAATTGCAAGGACAATTGGTCTCCTTCTTCCCTTTCAAGGGGACATTGGCATGACTCAGTGGAGCTCTGGAACCACATTGGTCCCATGCAAGGTCTTAAATATTGAGGGTTTCGAAAATATCAGTGGTTCAAAAACACGGAAATATCGGGAAAATATTTATATTGATAAAAATTGGATAAAAACCACGGAAATTGTGATAAATACATGGAAATTTTTAATGAAACTTTGTAAAAAAAATTATTTAGTCAATCATCTATTATTTTAACACAAAATTTGGAAGGAAATGCATTGCATAGTAGGTTTGAGTGATTTAAGTTGATTATATTGCGAGCTGACAAACTCTGTGACTTAGAAAATCTAGAGTAATTAATGAAATAAAATTAAACACCCTATAGTAATTTATTTATCATTTTTACTACAATAGTTTACACTTTATAAATTGCATGGTAAGATACATGAGTAACTTTATTTCACGTTATACACTGGACATGGCATGGTATATGTTCTTATACATATTATTTATTAAAACTTGAAAAATAATTAAAGATGTAAACCAACTTGATTTGTCATGAAAATTAAGCACTTTACCATGCTTAAAAAATAATAGTGAAGATTGAAAATTAACGAAGAACATAAATAAAGTTATCCAAGGAAGAATTAAATAGGAAATAAAGAAAATTATGATAGAGATTTAAGTAATTAAGCAACAATTTTGAGGGGAATTTAGTAATGTAAGTACTTATAATGAATAATAAAATAAGCAATAACATTAAATGGATTAAATAGGAAAGAAATAAATTATATTAAGTAATTAAATATTTGATCAACAATATAGAACAATAAGTAATTATTTTCTATTTTGAGAAACATCTTGGAAGAGTTATAAATACCAAATTCCATAGGTACTAATCACCAAGTGATGACTAGCGTGGTGGTTAAGTTGCTCCGAACTTGGAAGGGGGGAGGGGTTCAAACCGCTGTGCGTGAGTCAAGTGAATTATTTTCATTATCGACAAATTGACGATAAATGAATGGAAACATGCTAAAATATCGCTTCATGGACATTTATGTTGAGGAAGAAGAGGAGGGGAATAATACTTTAACTTTGTTGACCTTCCAAGATTTTCAACAAATTCTTATGTACGACAATTCATGTGATGTGCCGACTGGGAGTTTGCTAGTGGTTGGCTTATAGGATTTCTTGGATCGAATGGATCTGGTGCATTCTAGGATCCTCGATGTTGGGCCCGATTTTCGGCGGATAGGGTTGTTGGTTGCGATCTATGTTCCCATCTCTCTAGGTTATTTTGTGGCGGGGATCTAATATCCGGGTGGTGATAGAGCCTTTACTGTTGTTGAGCAATATTTTGCCAAGTTTGCTAAAAAGGTGAAGGAGGCCGACCTCAAGGGGCCTCCCAATTCTCCTTCGCTATAACGTTTGTAGGTTTGGCATCCAATAAATGTTCATGTTATTATGCTATTCTATTATAAGTTTGTCACACTAAAAGGCCAATCTTGATCCCCCTTACCCTGTCAAGTAGGGGTCTAGATTAAGATTCAAGGAGTTGGTATTGGTACTTCTTTCGGCTATGTTCTAACGCTCACCACATGTTGTTCTGTATTTCAGACTATGCATGCATATGAGTTTTTCTTTGACAATATTACGTTGTGGCAGGTTGTTCTTTGCGAGGCTTGGAGTCGTGATTTGTTTTGTCTATCTTCTTTCGAGTTCTTTGAAGACTCATGGAGTTGGTATCGGTACTTATGTTGGCTATGTTATGACGCTAATGGCACATTGTTTTGTATATTGAATTATGTATGCATAGGTTTGACAATATTACGTTGTAGTGGGTTTTTCTATACGGAGCTTGGAGTTGTGCTTTGTCTTGTCTATATTATTTCGGGTTCTTTGTAGTGATCCAAAGTGACTTGTGTCGGACTCTCTTATTAATTCATGACATGTGTGATATTCTTTCCTACTCTAGGATTTGTCCCATGTGGTTTTTTTAGGAAGGTTTTAACAATGCATTGTATTCGTGCCGGTCTTTTGTATTCCTTTTTCACTTATGAATGAAATCATATTTTCAAAACAAACAAAAAAAGATTTAAAAAAAAACAGTTAAAATCGTCACCAATTTTTGAAATTAAAATTTTTGTTTAAAAACTAAAACTAGAAATAAATATAAACAAAAGGGAGAACTCTGATTTATGAAAATTAAGAATATTAATTATCACGCAAGTTGGATTACAAAGGAAGGGCACATCCTACGAGGAGAACGCAGCGCCCCGTCAGCTTTGACGTTGATTAGTTGACCGACGACCGTGGCGGTCTCAGTAGACTCTGACCGCAACCGCAGGAGAATAATTCTCCCAACGTTTCCATAAATAGCAACTTGGCTCGCTACGTGACAACATCCGCACGTGCCAAGCCCGACGATGATATATCCCACCCTGCGAAACCTTATCTACAAAACGACAAGATAAATTATTAAAACGACTTTTCACAAACAAAATGCATGAACGAACACACAACAGCGACCACCACGATAATAATTAACAAAACCTAATTCACCACATGTCTAAATTCGGAGCTTACCTGGTACCTTCTCGGCACCAAAGCAATGGGCCCCGCAGTTCCACTTGGAACATATTAATTTCCCGTAATATAATTTTATTTTAGGACAATCATGCATTTTCGGTATTTTTTGGTTGTTTATTTTATTCAAGCAATACCGGAGATGAGAGATTTGAATCAGGAACTTAAGTACAAAAATAACTGTTTTTAACCACTCGAATTACAAATCTGTTATTATTTTTAATTTTTTGTTGAATTGTATTATTTTATATTTTATTGGTCTGGTAAGGTAGGTGTCATGC